TGGTCAAGGCCTGCATAAAGTGAGAGAAGCGATAGTTTGCCAGTGGCACCTTATCAGCTTATTATTAGAATGGCATTATAAAAAATATCAATGAAATCACACTAGCTTCTATCCCCGTTGATCGTATCAAGTAGACTTAATACAAGATGTGATATTTTTAATATGGAAATTAAAGATAATTAAATATCTTTCGGACAACCCTGTTTGCTGAGTCCCGAATGTGCGGATATCGGTAGGAATCGTTCTGTATTGAGTTAGTGCCCGGACGCGCTCGTGTTTGTCTAACTAGTTAATGGAATACCGATGGGCTATTGTACGAGGAACCGTTTTCTATTTAACGCTCGATATAGATATTTGGTAAAGGATTAATGTTTACAACAATGTTATCGAATTAACGGAGACTTGATTGTTGTTTGTAACTTAACTATACTTATGTTGGTAGTGTTGCTATGAATTTTAGTTAATGGTAAATCCGTCTAAATACTTTGTGTTTGCCAAACAGTTAAGTAGTACAATTTTGCGCCATGTTTTTGTTTTTTATTGCTTAGATGGGTGGACGATTTCACAGCCCACCTGCTGCTAAGTGGTTACTGGAGCCCATAGACATCTACAACGTAAATGCGCCACCCACCTTGAGATATAAGTTCTAAGGTCTCAGTATAGTTACAACGGCTGCCCCACCCTTCAAACCGAAACGCATTACTGCTTCACGACAAAAATAGGCGGGGTGGTGGTACCTACCCGCGCGGACTCACAACACGTCCTACCACCAGTTTGTCAGCCAAATTTTCTTAAAAGTCATTGGTGAGCTTTATTGTTAACAAAAATATGCTTGGGAAATTTGCTTAGGGTGAATTTAAAAAAAATGTGCGGATTCTAGTTCCACATTCAACAACCCCAACAACCAGCTACAATTTTCACGTGTTATATGGCAAGAGCAATTTGAATTAGGCATTGAATGCCGGATATCTTTAACCACGTCTTATACTCGAACCATTAAGACGATCGATATCGTTAGAAAAAATTATTACCAAACACTTTTTTCTCCCAAATTATCATTTGAAATAAGTGTTCACTGCTCGCGAGTCTAAACATATAGTAAAAATCGCAGATCATATATTGTGTGGCTTATTTTAATTATGGGGCTTACATCAATTTAAAAATTGAAATCAATACAATTAATTAAGAAAATCCTGTTCAAAACCACAAAAATTAGTAAGTTATTTCGTAGAAAAATGCAGATAGCTGTAATTGGAGCCGGCGCGCACACGCCTGACACGCCGCCATTTTTTAGCAATAATTTTTCAATAGCAGAATAATTTTTATATTTTCTTCATGTAAGTTTAGGGAATACTAAACACTAAGGTTATTCAATTATAAACTTTATTACCCCAGCCTAAATGTGAGATCGTGGATGCCACTGCACACGTTGAAACATAAAGTAAAACTTTAAATTGCTTTGGAATAACACTGGCTCTTCCAACAGAAACGTATAATAATTGCTCAGAAGCCAAAATGTACAAGACGTAAGCGTTAACTCTTATAAACAACACCCTCTATTAGCATTACAACCTTAGTGTTATAACTATTGACGCATCGCAATGGCAAAAGTCACAAGAGCCCTTTGAAAAAAAATATATATTAAACTTATTGTCGTCAGTGAAACGGGAATAATAAAAATGTTTCGTTTACAGAATTCGACATTCGTCATAAAGGTTCCTTCGTATCAGTGGTTTTACGATAAGTGTTTGCAGTAAATTCGGAACAGAATTTCATCGCGTATGATTATAATTTTGGCTATGGTTCGTGTATGTAGCGAGGTAGGTACATCCGGTTACGAATTATCATAATTATATTTGTTACGTATATATCATAGATTGATGTACGAACTTAAACTCCATTCTGAAACTAAAAAACTATAAATTGTTATATTTGAAAAGTGCTGTTGCAATAGATGTGCACGAAGAATAGATAGATCCGTGGTTATTTTCTTACTTTCACATGATTTTTCAATATATTCTATTTTGAATTCAAGATTAACGACAAAGCTTTTAAAAATATTGTACTGATTTTTTGATGCACACAATTACGTAAGAAAAATATATTAAAAGTATATTACGTACTGAAATACTAAATAAAACAATAAATAGTCCAATGATCTATGTAGCTTGCTGGGCTTAAATAGCAATTTCAAATAATTAGTGTTCGCGTAATGATCACAATTCCACTGTTCAAGTTTAAGGTTCATTTTATGTTTTTTTATTTTTTTATTTTCATGTATTAAACACAGGACAAAAAACACTGGAAGGTTGCCCCTTTAAAATAACCTATTTCTATTTCCACAAATAAAAAGAAAAAGCTTGTTTACGTCTATCAATACATACATAATAAGTACTTGAAGTGCGACAAAACAAATACAAGATAGTAAATAACTAATTAAGAAGGTCACGACCGCGTGACCTCGTCCATATCACCAAACATTTGTAAATAACAAACGAATAACAATTTTTATCTATTTTACAATTACTTTAAAACGGTAGATCGTACTTTTAGCTGTACAGAATATCACGTATCGGCAATTAAAAGCACGTATAGTGTTCGTAGGAAGGCCCAGCGTTCGACTTGGTCGTGACCCCGTGACCTTTCACCTCGACGTGTTACCGATGTTAATGACGGTTTCGTATGATCACGCTTTGTGTTACGGGGAAAAATTAAACAATAATACAATTTAAACTTACAATCTTAAAAAACAAAAATAAAAATATTTTAATTGTAGTTATAGTTTAATTTTAGATTTATGTGAGTATTGTGTATTTAATTGTAACTTAATGTAAATTTTATTGCACCTACCACTATTTTTTTTTGTTGCTTAGATGGGTGGACGAGCTCACAGCCCACCTGGTGTTAAGTGGTTACTGGAACCCATGGACATCTACAACGTAAATGCGCCACCCACCTTGAGATATAAGTTCTAAGATCTCAGTATAGTTACTCTACACTATCTTTGGTTGACTGTTAGAGAATGCCTTAGGCATTAAGTCCGCAAATGTAAATTTTACATGAAGTGTAATAAATAAATAAAGTAATGAAATATTTTTTTAATACTGAAATATATTCTCACGTTTTTATTTTCATTTTACGAATCTCGCTTTTGTGTACGGGGCGATATAACAAACACGTATTGCATGTACAGATAAATAATATACATGTTTAATTAACGCCATTTCTAATTCATAATCCGACAGTGATAAATTAGACAGTTCCGGCCGCTCGTAATTAGGTACGCAATTATCGCGGCCCGTTTGAATTCATTAATACGGAGAGTACCTACATCTAAGTAAACGTGATTTATGTCGCGCCGTAGTACTCTGTCGCTAATTGTACTAATAAAACGTAACCTACTCAATATCGATCATCGGGTTTGAGTAACCGAACAATCAGTGCGGCGTGAAATAATTAATCGACTACACTAGAGCCCTCCTCTCGTTGTTTCCTTGTTCTATTATTAGGTAATAATCATGTTTGCAGCGACCGCCGGGCGCACATAATTGGAAGCCCCGTACGGCTGTTTAATTTACTTAGCCTCAGCATCTGGCTCGATCGCGAAACAATTGCCGGCCGCCTAATTATATTTTAATCGCAACGGGCCCCTATGCACGCAGCGGTCTGCCGAATAAACTTCGTGTAAATCATTCGAGAACAGATCAAAACACTGCGACGACTCGGGAGTTGTATGAGAATTAGTATCGTTTTTTTTTTTTATTGCTTTGATGGGTGGACGAGCTCGCAGCGCACCTGGTGTTAAGTGGTTACTGGAGCCCATAGACATTCACAACGTAAATGCGCCACCCACCTTGAGATATAAGTTCTAAGATCTCAAGTATAGTTACAACGGCAGCCCCACCCTTCAAACCGAAACGCATTACTGCTTCACGGCAGAAATAGGCAGAGTGGTGGTACCCACCCGCGCGGACTCACAACAGGTCCTACCACCAGTAATAACAATCGTAACATAATTCCTAACGTTGAACACTAAAGCGTTGAAGTGAACGTTTTAATTAAGCACATACATGAGTTGCGAAACACAAGGGCGTCGGGTAAATTAAGTTCACCTTGTTCAAAGTCTGTATACAAGGTTCTGATTTAAAATGCAAGAATATGCTTGTCTTATAGCTAAAGATTAAAGGAGAACATTGTATAGTTTTTTTTTTTATCTAGTTCGAGACCTCGCGAGCTGGTTTCGCATAATAAGATTCGTCAAGGTTGATCAAAGACTATAAATATTTAAATTGAACATTGTCGAAACACCCTTATACGTGAACAGATGTTAACATGAATAACAACTGAACTAAAGATGCCTGCACGGCAAAACTGTGAAAGTTATAATAAATTCATAACAATTTCTCTAATAATAATTCGTAAACCCAAAATCGTACAAATATCTTTTTTTATGAGTTATTATTGTTATTGTATTGTTTTTTTTATAAATTCCTATTATGAAATCCTCATTGTTGGCTAGTAGTAGTAATAGTTAGAATTCCGACTATGCTGCTATTGAAATAAGCACTAAAACTGTTTAATTTTTTTTTATGGTATCACGATATGAATCACAATATGTTCATAGACTTCTACCGACGCAAAGTTTCCTATCGTTGTAACCTATAAGGTAATGATCTGTAAAAGTTACAAGTAGCCGTCAGCCGAAGAGACGTGTGATACGATTTAGGAGGGAATTGCTCCTGCGCCCGTTCTGCATTAGCGTGAAAGCCTCCATGAGGCGGGCGGACGAGGCCTGGAGCTGCGCATTGGCCATTAGCGTGATTAGAGAAGAGCCTCCACTCCTACACCCCGCACCAGTCACCGATTCTTTAGGCCTCTCATCTCATAATAATACATACTTCATTATTAATGAAAGCTCGTGTTTTACTCCCGGAGATTGCACTCGATCTACGTAATTGCGAATCTAATGAATGTTTAAAGTTTATTTTTCTTGTTTACAGGTGATGGCATGCTCTTATCTGAGGACGTCGGGCATTAATTCTCAAGTACCAAGCGTGTCCAGTTGGACACCGCCGGTAGCGCCGACTTTTCCTACGTCATATGTGACGGGACCGTCGAATGCGACAGCGGGCCCCCCTCCATTCGTGACAACCTTGGATGCGTTCGGTCAACAGAGCACATCCCTAACGGCGTATCCCGCAACCGATCAAGAGCCGGCCCTCGATTTAACAACAACCCCATCGCTGGAGTGTCGACCTCCGAACAGTGAGGACGAAACAGTGTGATAGTGCTGTGCCACAGACTTTGTTAACACGGGCAGTAGCGAATGTTCACTCACTGAAACGGGCGACACGTAGTCACGCCAGCGAGTAACATTTGCCCTAATGTCATTGAACTGTTAAGTTATATATTTAGTACCTAATACATATTTAATTTCGGTTGTGAAAATGGCAATTTATGTAAAACTTAATTCGCTGTGTGTAAAAATTTCCATTTACTGGTACTTAATAAGCGTTTAACAAAACGGATGTGTATGACACAACAGTGTTATCTATGTTGATAGCAAGTGATAGCAGGGATGTTGTCGTGAAGGTTTCTATGGCATATCTTACGTAATGTAGTTGTGTACTCCTAGTATATCATATACTACAAGCTCGTGGTTGTATTGTATTAATGAAATTTAACGGTTAAGATCCATCGAACTGCAATGATTGTTAATATCTATACTTTATTGTCAGCATTTATGCAAATCACTTCAGATTATCTATCACATAATCTAAATAGTGAAGTACGAACAATATTTAAGATGTACTAGTTAATCTTGTTATACAATTGTATTTAATATCGAATCTTGCCAGAATTGAGTACCAATAAAATATTAATTTAACTTTACACGCGTCTCTGTGATTTGCAATTTTGCTATGTAAATATTCTTGTCGACTAAGTTACTTCATGTTATGAGCTGTATCGAATGCTCGTCAATATTTTTCGTTCGGGTTGTAAATATTAGCGTAACTTTCTAGACGTAAGTAGACACATCTTGTACCTAAAAGTTTTGGCGCGAAACTTCATTGCAATAATTATGATGCCAACATTTTTGAACTTTTAAAATCGAATAAGAAATGTTCTAAATACTTATTAATAATTGTTTCAACGGTTGGACTTGTTCGAATCGATTTTAATGTTAACACTATGTAAGTAATTTTAAACGCTAACATTCCTTGCTGTATACACTTAGGAAATTATTATTTTAACTGTTATAAATCTTAATCAATGTTAGACCAGTGTTTTAACGATTTCAAAAAGTAATTCATATCAAAACGTTTAGTTGATAATGACAAAAAAATATATAAAATGTTAGCGTTTAGTCAGTCTTGCCATCTAATATTAATGTTTAATAGAAAATGAAGAAGCTTGAGGTTTGAAATGAAATGTATTTACATTTAAAGCTCACGGCTAATTCAATTTCTAAGACAAAACACTTGTGGTGTTACCAGTACACAAAGAGAAGCATACCTACATACCTAGCCTAAGAGAGCCGGTGACAGGAGGAGAAAATAAACAATTTTGTAAATTAAGAACTTGTTTTATTTTATAATCAAAATCATTACATATTGGATTATCATTACATTCGAATTCTTGGCGATTTTGAATGATTTATAATCGATTGCAAGCAAATATTATTAAATTTTAGTTGAAGTTTAGTTGAAGTAGAAGTTTAGGTGAAGTAGTCACTGTAAATTGTCTTTGCTCATTCCGCAAATGCAAACGAAGGCAACGAAATGCTGAATGAGATAAATTTCTTGTCGGCCGGTGCTAAACAGTAACATAAATAGTTCTTTTTAAAGAAAATATTTAATTTTATATAATATTTAAAAGTAATCGTTTTTTTTAAAGAATTAATATCAGCGTTATGAACATATAACTATATACATTGTTATGATGAATGGACACTATAAAAATTCAAATCGTTTAAAATCATTAAAAACTCGAAAACAAAGCATAACATAATAAATAGGTTACATTAATTGTTTTTTTACGACAAAGTTGAAATTCGAAACATAAGCATTTGCACACAAGACGAAATAAAATTTAATCACTTTAAAATTTCTAGAAATATTGATTCGGATTACGATAGCATAACCATATAAAACCAAAGTCGTATCAACTATGATTTTAAAAGCAATTTTTGAAGACTTACAAATTGTTGCATTATACATTAGTAATTTAAAATTATTCTTGCTTCTATACCACTGGATGGAGTCAAAACAATATACCTATAGGTAGTGAACCATAATTTGATTTATATATAGGTTTTACGATGACCATCTGCCTGATCTGACATATAGAAAATAGCTAAGTCTCAAAATTGGGAAAGCAATGAATTAGCGAAAATTAATTAGAAGGCCCAGAATTTTACTTTCAAACAGGGAGCTATTTTTAGTGAAGTGAAGTCAAGTAAACTTTGGGTTTTATCGAGATAGGAAGGAATACGAAATATATTTCTATTAAATAAGTTAACGAGCTAAGCATGGAATTGTTTAAATGATTAATAAATATATTTGGACATTTTATTTTCTGGATTTTGAAGTAAGAATTTTAATAATTTACATTTTCTGTCTCATAAGGATGTTATCAGAGACATTCACGCCTTTTTTATTTGTATTTGTCAGAATTAAGAGACAGTGAATAGTAAAAAACGTGTAGACCATTGCTAAAATTCAAAATAGATTCCAAAAAGAAATTTATTTAAAATCTAAGCCTTCTCCTTCAACATTTCAAAGTAAAAATTGTGTTAAAACTGCTAGTGACGTCCTGAAGTAGAATAGTATCTGATTGTTAGTACACAAAATAATACGGGTTAAAGTATGAAATTGCCGTTTTATTGTAATAGGTACTTCAAATTGACATAGAACCTTCATGGTTTTTGATTTTTGAGTGAAACTTTTTTCTTCATGAGGCTCTTTTTTAAAAAAATGTGCAACATTCGATTATCGACAATCAATTGTTTTTTTATTCAGCTTAGACAAGATAGATGGATACTTCGAAAATTCGAGTGATTTTTGAATACGAGTTCCGACGCGGAACTAAGGCTGCAGAAGCTTGTAATATCAATGTTGCGTTTGGAGAGGGGACTGCTAATGAACGCACCGTGCGATTTTGGTTTAATCTGCAGATCTGCAGAAAGAAACTCGTATTGAAACTTCTGTTGCCTTGTTGAATCGATACAGAAATGAAGGGATATTGGATCGAATTGTGACATATGATGAAAAGTGGATTCTTTACGATAGCCGTAAGCGAAAAATGCAATGATTGACCCCAGATCAAACGCCCCAACGGTGTCCTAAAGGTAAGCTTGTCAATAAAAAGGTAATGGTAACTGTTTGGTGGTCACAGCGTGGTAATATTCACTATAGCTTTCTCTGATCTGTTCAAGCAATAACGGCAAATGTCTACTGTGCCGAACTCCGAATGATAGCAAAACTTGCAGTGAAACAGTCGCGACTCATGGAATCGATCTTCACCATTATTGCTCCATTATAACGCGAGACCTCATACAGCACGAGAAACCGTTTTAACTCTACAGGAACTGCAATTAAGAAACCATTCATCACCTTCCGTATTTGCCAGACCTTGCTTCAACGGACTACCATATTTTTCGTGATTTGGACAATTTTCTACGTGATAAAAAGTTTTCTTCCCAGGAGGCAGTACAAAATGCTTTCACACAGCTTGTAGAATCTAGATCACCAGAGTTCTATCGCAAAGGCATAAATAGCCTTCCTATTAGATAGCAGCTATGTAGATAATAATGGTAGATATTTTGATTAAATAAATGAAAAAAAAGAACCAATTTCAATTTTTCAGAACAAATTGGCAATTTTATACTTTAACCCTTAATACATAGAATATGTACATACGGTTTGAGGAATATATTGTATATTTGTTGGTTTGCTTTGCTTTGCTTATTTATTACTCACATTCCACTCGGTATTAAGGTGGTTACCGGATCCAATAGACGTAACAACGTGTCGCCACCTATACTGGTATATTTTCCGTCCGCGAAAGCTAGAATAGCCCCTTAGGTTTTCTTTTAAAGTTTCGCGTAAATTTACTTTATAAACAATATTACTTAACGGGCTTTAGTAAGTACCTATTAGTTTTTATATTTAGTATCAATTAATATATTGTATATATTATTATATTTTATATAACGTCAGCTTGGAGAAGCTAAGGGTGACTGGCAAGGTGTACGGAAGATCACGGGGTAGAAGCACGACACGTTGGACTGACCAGATTCGCACTACCCTCGACACCACAGCTCACGATGCTCTACACTTGGCGGCAGATAGGAGCAAATGGCGTGGAATGATCCGGAATAAACTTTTGTTGCGAGGAGGTGGTCATGACCCTCAGTATTGAGGAAACCGAAGTCAGAAGAAGAAATATTCCTAACCTTGAAACCGGAACGTATCAGCACTTCGCTAGTGAAACAGACCGGATAATGGTACCCACACATACGAGCATATGTTTTTTGGAGTTTACTCCTTAAGAATCGATTTACATATATAGGCCCGGGGTATGAAAATTATGGGGACCAAAATCGTACTAGAGAGTATAGCATGTCACACGAAATGCGTTATGCGCCTGATTGGCCATGGTGATGCGTGCGCGCGCCAATCAGGAGCCAACGCGCGGCCGCGTTATCGCAGGTGACGCCGGGCTGCTGCGCCGGCAGTCCGCCACAAAGCCTCGTACTGATCGCGCGTTTCTCTCATTATTGTATTTTCATATATTTGTTAGTCGTTTGTTTTGTGTCTCGTTAATTTGTTAATAATCTGTAGTGTATCGTGTTGTCGTAATATAGAACTATTTCTCGTATTGTTTCGTTTAATTTACCGACATCGTTTTGCTTGTGGCCGGACGCCGTTCGGGTTCGATTCCTGAACGTATCAACTGTTAGTGGGTTGATACCCGAATATAACCCGCTACAAATCATTTATTAATAAAGCTTATTAAATATAAACAATTCCTTCTATCAGTGAATGGACAACTTATATATTAATTGTAAAAGTGAATTATATAGACTTACTTAATTACCGCATCCACGTGTTCCGCAACTCCCGGATCATTCTCACTAGAATACGTAACTTCCATATTTTACTGTATTCAACTGACACAAATTTATATTTATATCCAGTAAACTCCAGTCGTGCGTCGGAGCGGACACACACACTTTTTTTAATTGCTCTTGTAGTCAGAAGAGCATACGGACGACCTGATGGGGAGTGGTTACCGTCGCCCATAGAGTTCACCAATGCTAAGGGCCAGAGCCAAGCCGCTGGCTACCCTAGATGTTACCAGTAATCTTTCCTATTATCTTCGAATTTTGTAAATTAATCACAATTTGTATAAATAAAGTTATCTTTAATGTCAAATTTAATTTGTTTACCATCAACGATAATACTTTTTAATTTTTAAAGATGAAACATAGATGCTTAATTTATAAAAGGCTGTGTTTAAAATCGCAAAGAATTATGGAAAGAGTTTCTATACAGCCTTGCATTATAAAGTAAGATTGAATCTGACAAAGTCGATTAAAATTGCAAATTACACAATTATGAAAACAAACCAGACCCAGTATTTTTTGTGATATTACAAAATGCGATTTACATTTAAAATATTCCATCTATTTAAATTAAATTAATGTTTTTTTTTCCTGTGAGCTCAAGCGAAAACGTTTAACAAAAAAAAAGTATATTAAACGGAGCTTTATATTCAAAATCGAATTGTAGATATGAGAATGATTTAAATGCGAAAAATACTAAAACATTTTATACAAAAATACTTGATTTACGTACGAGACTAAATCTTCGCTTCCGTTCGTTTGAGTGAGCCGGGACAAACCCACCGTACTGTACGAGTGTATCTGTAATACGCAACAAATATCTGTTCATATCTCTTACCCCTACTATGAGTAGGCTACATCGTATTTTACATTCCGATTGTTAACTAATATCAAAATATATTAATACGTGAAGCAAAACCTTTGTATCCCTTTTTAAGAAAATTGCGCGGACGGAGGAGTATGGAATTTTCCACACTTATAGAGAATATAGAGAAGAAGTGCACAATACTAATATTTTTTTTGTAGTCTTGGCGAAAATTGTGATTATAGAAGTATAAAAAAAAATACAATCATAATAGTGTACAAACTTACAATTCCAATTAATTATAGTCGAATTTCGACTACTGCGGGACCTCTAGTATCAACATAATACACATTGAAGACAGCTAAACAGAATACGAATAATGATTTCGACTTACTTTCCTTAAACATGTTATTCGTGATAAAAAAATTGGAATTAATATTCACGAACAGAAATACGATTTATTGGACTTCACTACGTCTCCATGGGCATTACGTACGGTTACATTTTATGCGTATTCAAGGTTTTGGTTCTACATATGCTCATGGTGATTGATGCCTCGCGTACGTCTTGAATGATCGCGCTTTACAATGAGTGCTGCTGCAAACAAAGCAATCATGCGTTCTGTGTTAGTGATTGATTTTTCT